CTGCTTGTAAGAATGACTATGTTGCCTCTATATTTTCCCTCTCTATGACTGTCCAATCAATTCAGAGGAAGAGAAAACAAACTTAATGTTACATGTTGCCCTGCAGCTTACAAAATCAAGATGCATTCTTTCTACTTAGAAGATCAGCCGCATCGAAATAGCCAGATAATTGCCAGGGGATAATTATGATTCTCTAATTATTATTGTTGCTGATGGTAAATGATGTACAAGGAAGAATGCAGTTTGATTTTCTAAGCTGAATGCCAAAGGGGAGACAATAAGAAAACTTGTTTTAACTAGAACACTGAGCAAACTGGACAGAAAAGTCACTGAAAGAAAGAACACTTGGGTGACATCTACCAAACAGAAGACACATTATTGTGATTCTACGGTCTTTTAAGTATGCATGTAAATAAGAAATAATCTGGACAATGAAACTTTAAAGGACTAAAGCAAGAGAAATAAAATAGCATATTCAAAGAAGCCAGACACACCTGCCAGTTTGATTGAAAGTCAAGATTTTGTGCAAGATCAGTGGCCTTTTGTAAAATGGCTGTAGCGTTCTACACAATCTTTCACTGATGCAATACTAACTGTAGTACTGAGGTACTCAACATTGTTTACAATCCAAATACAGCGTCAAAAGCAAAATACGTCTCTTAAACGTATCTCTACATAGCTCATCACTAAAGATACTGTATTTACTCAAATACAAGACGACGCTGTGTCCCTCCCACCCCTCCCCCCCGGCATGGGGAAAAAATGGCCCTTGGTTTATAATCTATCACATACAAGGAATCTTACTAAGTATTGTCTAACATTAAACTGCTGCCAAAAGCAGTGTGTGGCTCAGCAATGGAAGCCAACTATAAAGTTGATTAACTACAGCCGACACTGAGCAAGACTGTAAAACACATGGCCCCTGTTGGGCAAGCCACCAATAATTAGACTCTATACCAAGAAATTGTAACAAATATATACATTTTCCATATACAGAATCTAATTACTGGGGGAGGGGGTGGTGTCATCTTATAATCAGGGTTATCTTCTATTTGTGTAATCATGATACTACTTGTTTTTAGACATAAGTGCATTACAGGTGAGGTTTTTTTTCCCCTCAACCAACACTGTCTTGATAATATTTATTTTTCTATAAGCAGAAAGGAGGGATTCTCAAAAAAAAACAAACCCAACCCAGTTGAATGTTGCCTGTGAGGACCAGTCCTTATTCTGAACTCTAGTTTTAATGATTACCCTCTGCATTAAAACATGGAAGGTACAAAGGCCTTGCTTTAACCACAGAATCTGATGGTTTTGGGAAAACTATGAAGAGCTGAACTAGTTGCAAGAAACTGACCTCAGCTTCACTTATTTTAGACAGGGAGTTGTGGGTAGCATGGCTGTGATCAACTATGGCAAGAGCATGGTTTGACTCGTGTAACAGGACTGTCAAGTCACAAGAAGCAATGTATTAGCTTTCACAACCATGCTCTCTTGTAACAAAATGTAGCTAAACACAGTTTTAAGGGGCAGTCAGTTGATATGTACAGGGTTTAGCTGTGAACATTTTATACAAAGAAAGTTCCTTTGGGTGTTTATGAACTGAATAACTTTGATTAAACAAAAATCATTGGCTGCAACAGTTAGACTGGGCTGGAGAAAATGGTTGCAATAGCCAACAGGAGACAAGATACTTCTTTGTTGAAGAGCTAATGTTTAAATCATTTAAATTTTTTAAACTTAACCATCTAACACTGGAAGCTCCCTCTGAAACTGCATTTTCATTTCTGTAACATGCATGCTTGGGAAAAGGGAGTTACCAATAATAAAAAAGGGGTGTAGGTTATATAAAAAAGCAGATAAAAAGTCTGATTTAATCCTCCAGCTACAAGAGGAAACAAGCTTGAGAAATTTTGAAAAGAATTTTGAAATTCTTTAGCCCAATGATATCTATAATTTCACTTTCAGTTTTCAATAATAGCAGAGACATCACATCAGGCAAAAGAATATTGGCTACATATAAACTGAGCAATGGCTAAAACAACAGCTACTGCAGCAGCATTGAAAGTAAAACAAAACAGGAGACATGGCTTTATCTTTGTCCCAAATCAAAGAAAATGTATAACATAGCTGAGGTTACTTGTACGAGTACTTTACTTAACCTTCTACCAATTATAGTCAACCACATACAATAACGTAATTTTATGTAATTGGGAACTAAAAATGTTTTCCTTTAGGGACCACCTTATGTTTTACTGATGTTACTGTTCTCTCCGCCTTTTGTTTCCCGAGAGCAGCATTTTAAATATGTTAGGCCACTATGGCTGTCTAGGGTGAGGGAGAATTAAAAAAAAAAAAAAAAAAAAAAAAAAAAAGGGTCTGATGTGTCAGAAATGCTGTGCTCCTGAACTCCCACTGCTTTCCATGTTATGAGTCCAATTATGTCTTTAATGCAGGTAACTCAGGCAATTGCAACTGGATTATTCTATCCTGCATGTTAGCAGCCAGTCTGTAAAGGTAGATGTAAGTTCTGTCATGTCTAGACTACAAACGTATTGTACCTGGCAGTCATGCCCTCCACATTGTTCCCATTCAGGAGGTAGTGCATATGAACCAGTGTAGCCACAGCTATATGCCATTCTAGAAAATATTGAACAGCAATGCAGTGCATAAGTGAAGTTTCAAATAGCTTGGTGCTACCCATATATAGCTCCATGACTTCCGGCTTGGGAGTAGTGTATGAAGGTGCCACTGCTAGGCATGGTAAGTTCATGGTCTTGGGGAGAGGGAAAAGTTTTGTGCCACAGTAAGATGAAACCCTATAATTCCTTCCCAGTGATTGTGGGAGAACATGTCTGTCCTTCTGGGTATACACAGAGAATTGTGGGAAGGCAGCAGAAGAACACGAGCAGTCTAGTGGATTAGCAGCGTACATCGCCACTTCAAAGTGGGCAGATTGATAGACTTACTGGAAGTCTCTCAGCCTTTACCTGACATCCCAGGAAAGGTTAACCTAAGTGAAGCTGAAAGCAACACTAAATGAAGTGAAGCCAAATTAAGGGCAATAGCCAAATGAGAGCCCAGGTCAATTGTGCTGTGAAGACTTACCTTAACACAAAGCTCTAGTCAAGAGTGAAACAAATAGATGAGGGTTAAAAACCAAAAAACAGTAAGGACACATACTGTTTTATTAGCAACTGCTAGTATATGACTCTTGCTGAACTGAGTTTGAACTTGGTTTTTACATATGCAAGTGACAGATCAAAATTAGTTATTTCAAAAACACCCTACAGTTCTAGCACCCATTCAGCAACATTGTCAAAAAGACCCAAACATTCAATACCACTTACTGGGGCCATGGCATTTGATAAACACGGTAACCCCCCCGATCACGCCTCACAACACCCCTTGTGGGGTAGAAACCATTATATCAATTAGTCACTATTTGACAGATGGTAAAACTGAGGTAGGGCAGTTGAAGGGCTGATTTCGAGTCATTAAGCTAGTGGAAGCTCAATATCTGATGTCAATGATTCAAGCTTTAAGTGACGCTATCAACACCAGAAAACAAATCAGGCAGAACTGATAATGGAGTCAGAATTAGAAACTCTTACTCTGACCCCACAGTCGGTATATCCTGCTAATTCCTTTGCCTTTCTTTAATAAAAATATTTTGTGAAATATGTAGAGGCAACAGACATCTGGCTAGGAAATTATATTTGTAATAGAAATGACAGATGCCTAATATAAACCAAAAAGCCATTTCCTTTCTTGTTTGTGGGCTAACACTAAATGAGTGCATCTTTGTAGTGAGATGGTGTATGGCTTCAGCCTTAGTCTTTCTATGATGGACCAGTATTTAGATCAACTATTCAAGTGTGAATTAAAACCCAACCTTTCAGGTTAATCAAAAACCAAGGGGACAGCATGGCAGATTCAGAGTTTACTGTCATTAGAATCCTACTCATTTTACATATGCAAACCCTCATATTGTGGTAAATCAGTGGTATTCTCCTGCAAGGTGAACAACACATGGGTCTGCCTCAAAATCCAGCAAAATGTTTCCTAAAATCCATCTTGTCGACACTCCAGTAGTAAGTGAGGACTTATCCCTCTTCAACTTAATTTTATTGTCGTGAAGCAACCGTGAAGCTGAATACCTCTCTAAAGTGACTGCATAATTATAAAAGAAAAGATGCCAGATTTGATTTAGCTAGTATACAGGTATAATTAGTCAATTTATTCAGTTCTATGACATTCTCAATTTTAATTCAACTTCATATAAAAAAACAGAATATAACTAAACATGTAGCAGTTGTGATGAACTTATCTTACTATAGCTTTTCAGAGGAAAGACTTCGGAAAATCTGAAGATACAATTTTTAAAAACAAGGGCCCAGATCCATAACTTGTAACTTGTCGGAGCTTAACTGAAACCAAAGCTGCGATAGCAACTTACACCTGTGGGTAATTTGGCCCAGTAGCCCATTCATTTGCAGCATAATTGACAATAGTTTGCCTCAAAGTTAAGAGACAACAGGGGTTATAGAGACCTCTATGCATATCTATAGCTGAAAACTAAGCTACAACGTTTCTTTGGAAGAGAAATCTTTCCACTTGTGGCCTAGAGGACTGAGTGACAAAACGATGGTCCCTACCTAAGAGCAAAATAATATTGTGGATCTTGGAGAAGCATCTTGATTTAGCAGCAGTGACCACTACACTACACAGAGAATTTCTAAAACTGGTTTCATTTTCATTTTCTTGGACTTTTTAAAGTTAACTCTAGCCTTGAACAGTTTACAGAAATCTTTAACCCTTAAAACATGGTATTCTCTAGGTATCCAAAGATCAGGAGGATACATGCTTTTTTACATGCAGACTCTCCATAAGGTTAAAGTGTGTAAGTTTTAGACAAACAAGTTAGAGCATCTGCCTATTCATTTCTTTTTTTAAATGAAACTTTTTCTTTGGTTTCTTGTATTTTCTCCGTTATTTTATCCTTGGTTTCCTCCATTTTCTCCGTTATTTTATCCCTGGTTTCCTCCATTTTCTCCGTTATTTTATCCCTGGTTTCCTCCATCTTCCCTGAGAGAAGCTCTTTCGTTTCTTCCATCCTGTCGTGCAGGTATCCCTTTACTGGAGGTGGTCTGGACAGGTAGCCATACTTGCGAAGATACTTGATAGCAATGGACGTTGTTCCCAAAGTCACAATGTATCTGGCAGGAGATGCAATCTTAAAGGAAGATACCAAAAAAATTGTATCCATATTATACACAATTGAAAGGATATCACCCAGGACATTCTCAAGTTTGCGAAAACATTATTTTGATTAATTCCACTTAAATACATGCATCTTCCTCAAGAAGGCTCCCTGAAGGGTAAGTTTTAACAAGTATTCTTTAGGTGTGTGTAGACACAAAACATCTCTGCTCTTATAAACATGGTGGGGAGGAGCAGCAACAACTGTTTGTACAATTACTCAGTGGTTAAATGTTAAGAGCTGAAATCAGTTAGAGTTCTACTCTGTTTTTCTATCTAGTCCTTAAATCATATCATACAACTGGAACACATTATTTTGCTCCTGAAGTGAATGGATGTTTTGGGTGGCTGTGCTGAAGAATTTTTCAAAGACAATATAAACTTCTAAGCAATGCAACCCAAGTGAATGCACCTGTAGTCACTATTACACATCAGCTAACAAGGATTCTACCACCTACTAGTTACTCTCTGGTTAAAAACACTTTTTCTCCCTCTCATGAACACAAGTCTTAAATGAGCCCTGCACAAGCTTTAGATGCTGGCTGTGCTTCTCAGCTGCTTCCATCAGCAGCTGCCATGGTAGCTATGGCCGAGATGCTCACCCAGGCACTTCTGGCAGCTCTGCTCAGCAGCTGTGTTCCCAGGGCATGGAGTGCACTCTGGGAAGGGGCCAGCTGTTAAGTGGACTGAAGCTGGAGGCCTTGAAGTATCTTCTTGGTAGAGCAGGAGTAACTCTGCTGGCAGAGTGGAAGATTCTGCTGCAGAGAAGCTTTAAGAAGTTCTTCCGCACAGCTCTGTAGTGTAGACTAAGCCTGTCCTGTCTCATCTCTCATCCTTTGTAATCCTTTTCTTCTTTTCCCACTTAAATCTTTGTTCCCAGCTCCATTCTCCATATAATGATATATCATCATGAAATAAAAGTGGGAGGACACGCACTAATTTCTATTTAATTGAGGGCTGATGGTTTGGCTGTTCCTAGCTATTTATAAATGCTCCCTGCATCTGTCTTACCTTAGAATAGTTTCTCATTTTGCTTAATAGCTCCTTATAAGAAAATAGTACTTAACAGAAGTTTTAAAGGGCAGGCATCTATCCAATAGATCAGTCAGTGCTTTGGAATTAAACAGACAAGCCCACAGAAACAAAGCAGTCATAATGGGTCACATACAGGACAATCACCTGTTCCCAGTAACAAAAGAAGGGCTAGATCTCCAAGTGTTACTTATGCAGACATTTAAGTCTAAAATATAGATCCTTTTAATCCACTCCCAACTTCCTATAATGCAGAGGCCTCTAAATTTCCATAAGGAAAGTTTCTTAGTGTCTAAATATCCATCTCTGAGCATGTCTGCAACTGTCCAAAGTCCTGACAGAACTGGAGTAGATAGGGCCCAGATCCACTAAGAGACAGTGACACCTAAAAGTAGGGCATAGTGGAATTTATGGTCCTAAAACAGATTCTCACAAGCTGTCCCCTTAGACACCTACATTTTTGCCAGTAAATTTTCCTAGGTACCCAAAGTTCTGGTGCTGCACATGCCTAAAAACTCCTGTCTTAGTTGCTGAGCTGTTCAGTCTTCAATCTCACCACCTAAGTTCATTCAGAATCCACACAAGAAGCATTCCTTCATCTGAATCCCTGAGGCCCGAACCAGTAGATGTGCTTAGATCACATTTGACACCCATCTAGAAGCACAGGTGCCACAAAAACCAGGGGCCACAGCTACTTTAATTTACGAATGCAGGAAGATGCTGTTGCTGTTCTTTCCACCCATCTGCCTAGGAATATGGGAGACTAGATTTCCATGTCTGCCTCAGAAGGATTCACTTCCCAAGAGATTGCCCTTATAAACATGAGGCTGTACGCTGCTCCACAAAAAAAAAAAAAATTCAGGTTCACCGGACCAGAGAAAGGAAGCACGACTGTCACCCAATGATTAGGGCACTCAGCTGTGGAATGGAGGCCTGGGTCCAGTTCCCTGCTCCAAGGGCTCATTTAATATTTGCATTAAACCATCAAATGTGGGAAACAAAAAGATGAAACCTGTTGAAATTAACATAGTAACATTTTGTATAATGTGTTGTGTGTTCAAAGCACAATACTGATTATGTACTTGTAAACCCAGAAAAAAAAATTAAATCTGATCCTTACAGTTTGGCCAACTGGAAAATGAACTCCCTTGACACTAGTGGAAAAAGTAATGTAACTCATGATGAGACAGGGAATTAAAGGTTCCTGTAGAAGAAAACTACATCTCTACCTCCCAATCTCAAGAGCACTTCAACTTGTCACTTGAACCCTGTGGGTTACTCAGGGGGTTTACACAAGTGAAAACAGGCAGCTAACTCAACAGTAAAGTGAACCACTTAGGAATGGACAGAGATACTAAAAAGCACTACAAAGCCCTTATAAATGTGTATGTAGCATGTGAATATCGCAGGACAGATTCTTTGGGTAGATGCGATATCTTTTATTAGACCAACCGAGTAGTTGGAAAAAAGTTCTTTGCAAGCTTTCAGGCGCAAATCACCCTTCTTCAGGCGTAGGGAGTCTCTGCTGTTCAATATTTAAACAAATCTAACTAGTAAGAGACAGAATTTTTACTTCTTTTTAATCTAAAGAAAATTGAAAGTGTTGTTTAGCTTACCAGGCGACTCCTGAACCCTTTTGTTAATTCTGATACTTACCTTACACAAGGTATATGCAGTTAGTACATTTCCAGTCTCAGAATTTTTCAGAAGGCTTATTATGCTTTCTGGTAGGCCAATAACTTCTAGGATAGGAACAACATTCATGCCTCTATCAAAAAAAAAAAAAATTACATGTAAATATAATGAAGCTCCAAAAGTTCATTAGCACTTGTATACTGAACTGCAAATCGCTGTTCTTCATCATGACATTTTATGGTGTAGTTACATTTTAAGATTAATTTACTTTCATTTAACAAACTATTTCTTAATATAAGCAACATAAGTTTTCTAGTGTCTTTGTTTTTGTACACAAAACAATAATGTCTTTGCATTATTAACAGAGATAAAAGTTATAAATTATCTGTTAGGTTGAACTACTGCTTTGCCAACTTGCTGATATCCTCAATTAGCCTGAGTTAAGTAGATATATCTGTACAAAGACAAAGGTGCACAGATGCAGACTGAAAGCTCCATTTATGAGCGTGGTAAGGACCAGTTCTGCCTTGAGGGACAGAAGAAAAATTAAACTCTATGTCTGTTTCATGTTAATCCCACAAAGTGTGTATCCAGTATCTCACACTTCCCCCTTAAATACCGGCCTTAAGTGTATGACTTTTTCTGGGGGTGGGGAAGAAAAAAAGCACACATTCTGTTCAGGAGTCTAGAGGCTCCTATGTCAGCCAATGCACCTTGCCAGTTGAGGTTGGAAGAAGTGGGTGAAGAGAGTTCATATCACCACTTTCTTCCATTTGACCATTTGTTATTTAGGACACAAAAATATTGCATATCTGGTATACTGTAGCTGGAAAATACATTCAGTTACAAAAGGCTTGGATACTTCAATATTCAGAAATCTTTTTCAAAATATCTACCAGTAAGAGGGAGCCTAAAGCTACTGCTATAGCCTGTAGTCATGTCTTGTAAGAAAGTGACACTCTTTTGGTCTTCCATTTTCCTCAGCTACTTAAGCATTTCAATCTTTATTTGTAATGACACCAGCATGAATAAATATGGTACTAGTTAAAAACTGTTAGTGAATTGCTGCTAGAGAAAAGAGAGCATTAAATATTATGCTACAAAGTAATCGACTTCATATTAAAATCCAGGGGACATTCCTCACAAAGAATTCTTTAGAATCCTAAGGAACCTAATTAGGTTGACACTATCCTTTTTTAATTTTAGGTCATTTATTAAATAGCTTCAGACATGAATACTTTAGCCCTGTGGAATGATTATTCATGATTCAAGTTGCTTTCACCTCAAGAGGGTGCTGTCCTTCTAGGATTACAAACTGATGCTCTGTTCTAGCTTGTTTCTAATTAAACATTTTCAGTTGCATACAGATATCAAACAGGTTTTAATGGCTAACCAGAATGTCTGAAATAAACTAGTTAAACTTTACTCAGCTTAAAGTGCCCGGACATGGGCATCAACTTAACTTCATCCAAAGCAAAACATTTGAATAGCTCAAGACCTTTATTACTCTGGGATGGGTTATATTTAGAATGACATTTGGATCTATAGCTCCTAGAAAGGGCAATTATGCCAGCTGGTTAGAGTAACTAAAACAAACACTTGTGTTGTAATACATTCTGATGTCAGAAGGTCCGGCCGCAAACTTGCATTGTTTTGCGTCTTCTATTATTAAATATGAAACACACAGTCTAGAGATAAACTTTTACCTGGATTCAGCAAAAAAAATTCAGCTTCATAAAAGCTTCCCCTTTAATCTAAAATAAGAGTCTACAGTAGATATGAATAATCACCATTTATTACAGTAATCATTCTCCAAAACAGAATAAGGACTGTGGGATTTTGCAATGTTACATTAAATCTAATGTAAATAGAAAAGACTGAATAGAATGGAGGGTTATAAATTAGTTTTATCACTAGATACACCAATGCTCACTCAAGACAAAAAAAAAAAAAAAAAAAAAAAAGAGCAGGATGACCAGGCTGGCCCACAGGTAAAAATTCAAGTAAGTCTCAATGGTTAAATAAGCCGAAACAAAAGATGTCCCTGGGCAGAGGAGATTAGAACTCAAGTGCATTAGCAGAGAACAATCAAGTATGAGCATCTGCTACCAACCAGTGCTTCCATGAAGGAAAAAGGAAAAAAATAAAAATAAAAAGAGGTTTTTTATTAAAAGTTTGTTGTGGTTTTTTTTTAATAAAAGGTTTTGTAAATCACCACAACATACCAACAGAAACAAACCCCACTGTACTCCGTCCACCAGTTTGTACGGTAGAGGTAAAAGGGGATAAAAAACAATTTCCTGGAAGCTATGGGAGAAAATGACACTGCCTTTTTAGATTTCTCCTAATATGCTGAAACTAGTAAAACCAGAGATGTATCTTGGTCCCAGGTACTTTCTGGATGAGGCAAGAAGGAAGAATAAAAATTATATAGGGGCCTGTATCCCTCCCAAAGAAAACTTTCAAGCACAAAGGAAAGAAAAAAAACAGCCACTTTAAAATGTACAAAGAAAAATGGCCAGCCTTGCAACTCTGCAGGACAGTGCAGCCAGACAGTGCAACTCCTCTGCAAATTCTTGTTTGAAAGTCTCACAGTAAAGCCCTATACCAAAACAAAAGGAAAAACGGAAAGGGGGAGAGAGAGAGGTTCTGGGGAAGCATGCAATCCCTATACTTTCTAATGATGTGATGCAATAGTGTTGCAATCTAAACAAATTAAAAGAAGTCAGATAAATGGGGGAAGGAAGCAGATAATGATGGCAAGAAAAAACACGTACAACCACCTTTTTTTCCTACCACATCCTATATTCCCTTGATTTTAGCGGTGAGATCCTATGGGGTATACACAATGGCTAAGACCAACTGAAAAGGAGTTTAGTACTTTTATTTTTACCTACAAATTTTATAGCTTACCTCCTCCCAAAGACACAAATACTTAAGACTTCAATTAAGATGTGCCTACAGCAGGGGTCAACAACCTATGGCCTGTGGGCTGGATCTGGGCTACAGACATGGGGCATTCGGAGGTGAGGGGTGCCTTCTGCAGGTGTTCTCCCCGTGCCACCGGGAGGATGAATCTCGGGTCTGGGTGCTCTCCCCATGCCACCGTGGAAACAAGCAGTGGCAGCAGCAGAATCCTACATCCCACCCTCATGCCTGCCTCCAAACCAGTGTGGATCATTCTGGCCCACAGCTGAAAAAGGTTACCTACTGCTGCCCTATGGTAAAGAAATTTCCTGAGTTTCTTCTACCTGTACAAATGGAAAAGCAGAGCAGAAAAGTTAAGAAATGTGACTGATAGAAAGAGGGGAACCAAAATGGGGGAACCAAAAGCAGGAGTGTCGCCCTTTGAAAATGAGGGGCAGTTTACATTCAAAGGAGGAAAGCAGGGCAGATCACTGACACATCCCTACTATTGCCGAGGGGAAAAACAAGTAACCATCTTTGCCATATTAGCAGCTGCCAAAAGATACAACTGTGTGCATACTCCCTAATAGCTTGTCTTATTCTGGGACAATTACTTTATCTACACTTCGAAGGAATGCATTTGGTACACACAGATTGCAGAAAGTGCAACACAAACAGTGATATGAAGTGTATTCCTTTTCATTATCAATCCTGGGCTTTGATTAAACAGACTGCTTTCTCTGCTGCAGTATATGGGGTAATTTCTGACCTGTAAAAAGATCTCTGTTATAGAAATGTTTATATGCCCATGAGAATGTGTCTCAGTTTAAGGCAGTATTGACTTTCTACAAAACAGTAACTTACTGCATGGCTGCATAGTAAAAGGATCCAAACCATATGCCGTAAGTCACGGTATGCACTGGAATCACAACCTTTCCATACTGTTTTAAAATCTTCTTGAACCTCTGAGCAAGACCAAGTGATTTGTCTTCTAGTGGGTCAGCTTCTAAAGAACTTGGTGCTGCAGCACCTCCCCTATGTGCATCCCTGGATGGATTCAAAGGACTTTTTTCCTTTAATTCTTTGTGGCGAGTATCTTCTGGTTGGGATGAGAACATACACAACAGTTTACTTTTGTTTAAAACAAAGAGTGCAGCAGATGCATGTAGATACTGTTTTCGAAGGCATCTAGTCCAAGGCAAAACTGGTTTTCCTTTTAAGCACTGGTATATATTGGTGCGATGTAGTACCCAACATGTCCTATGCACTGGCTGGAACATGGTCTGGATTAAATTCCTTTGGATTTTGATGAAGGGTGATAGCTGGTTACAATTCCTAGGGAAAGTACACAAAAAAATAAATTTTTACTTAAGAATGTATGTAACTGTTGCATTTCCAAAGATTTTTAATTTATCTCATGCATACAGAAATAGAAAAAAAACCTCCTCATTATACTAAAATAGTTAGTGACTTAATTGCTAGGGTTAAATCACTAATGACACATTTATTTCAGAAATGTTAAATGTGCAAGGACTAAAGTTCCTTTTCCTAACAGTAAATATGATCATTCTACTGCTTTACAAGGTGACCATTAAACAGGAAATAGCGAACGATAGCCATGCTTATATTTGATACTTTTACTCTGTTTAAACATAGAGAAATTTAGTGAGATTGTGCTAAGGTTCCTGGGGGCCATCCTTTTTGACAAACATGCCACAAGGTAAGCCCGACACCTTCCCTAAGTGCCACTCTGACCCCCTTGTGCACATCCAGATGTGCATGGACATTTGGTTCCCCGGGGACAAGTAGCAGCGGTGCATCTTGCATCACCGCTATTTGTTTCCGGGGAACGCTCATGCCATGTGCGCTTTGGTGTGCAAGTTGCTCTGGGGGCAGTAGTGGGTAGGGTAGGGGAGGGTGGGGCCAGCATTGGGTTGGCCCCAGGAGCATTATCTGGGGTCCTGGGGGCTTCCCGGGACTGCAGCCACAGCGATTCTGCCATGGTTCCAGGTGGCCCGGCTCTGCTTTTCAGCATGTGCTGGCCAAGCATGCATTGCTCCGTTTTTTGTGCGGTTTTTTTTGACCCGTGGATATTAAGGGGTCAAAAAACTCTGCAGAACACCCCCCCCCGCGGTGCAGCGCATGCTTGGCCAGCGAGCCCTTGCAGCGTGGAGAACACAGGACTGTGCGGTATGTAGCACTGCAATGTATTTGCAGCGCCACATACTGCATGACCATGCATGTCTGGATGCACCCCTTGAATCCAATCTTTTGCTGTACTTTAGGCTCCCTGCCTGATCTGTTGCTCTGCTCCTTGCCTTATCTGTTGGTATGTTTCCTGCTCCCTCCCTGATCTGCCGCATGCCACAAGGCAATACTTGTAGTATGCATTATGGGTTCCTCCCCCGGTTATTGGGAAGCTCCTGGAGACTGTTTGAATATATGAAGCAATTAAACCACACTCTGCTGTCAATACTGTATTTGCCCAAATTCAAGGTAACTTAGAAATTAAATTTAAAAAATGTAATTTAATTTAATTTAATAATTAGACTATACATGGAAAATGATAAATGTGTTCTCATTTTCCAGTATAGAATCTGATTAGTGGAAGGTTGTTTTAAATTCATCCCCCCCACACTGCAGTGGCAGGGATGAGGGATCAGACCCCTTTCTCCTAGACCTTTCATGCCTGCCCCCGTACCCATTGCATCCCCATGCAGCCTGCCTCCTGCTCCTTGCTGGGGCTGGAGGGACTGCAGCTGAAGGTAAGAGAGATAGGTAACAGCTGGGGGGGGAGGCAGACTAAACAGTCCCCCCCATGCTTCCCTTGAGCCACACATGCAGGTATCCTCTGTTTCTCCCCTTTGCCCCACCCCCCGCATTGTCCCCAGTGTTCCCCCCGCCTGCCAAATAAGCCATCCCAACTTGGGGCAGGTGGCAGCTCAGCTCCAGCCCCCAGTACCTGTCCCAGGCTGGTACTTAAATCTAAGATGAGGCTTTTTTCCCCCATGCTGACTGGGGGGAAAAGAACCTTCTCTTGGATTCAGTACGGTATATTCTTTGATTCTGTATAATTTTTAACAGTCTGCATTTACAAAGTTATATTACTTTGCATGATAGTAAGAATTATCCTTAGGCTTTTTTGCAAAACAGCAATGAAGCCTTATCAGTACCAACCCTAACCACAGAACTCTGCTCTTGCATCCGTTCCCTGAAGCTCGCTAATACTATTGTTAATACTCTAAATAAAAATTAGCAAAAAACAAATCACGGCAATCAGAACTTGCATCTCAGACCTATCCTAATGGACGTTATTTTTAAATAAAACTTAATTTTAAAATGCTTACTGAATATTTCTCTAAGTTCAAGAGAATGAACTGTTTCCTCCACACGACAGAGACTAGACAATTTCAACTGGCATATGTAGATGACAAAGTCAGGCTACTCATGAAAATGACAATTTTTAGCATAGCAGCTTAAATTTAAAAGGTTTTCTTTCATTTACACAGCAATAACAGGTTACAGCCCAGCTGACTCAGTGCTGGTGTGTAGTATGTTTGGAAATGCTGGTGAAGTCCATGCTGTTACATTATGTCATACCATTCAAATCTCTTTAATACCATTTAGAATTTTAAAACCTACAGGCATTCTAAATACATGGAAGTCAGTCATATCCAATTATACACCCACGTTTCCTCAGATTTGTCTTTTTTCTTAATACAGCTTTAGCTCAGACAGAAACTTAACGTTTTCTCATTTGCTATTAGAAACAGACAGAAACATCATCATGTAAAACGCAAGTTTCCGGAAAATACAAAAAAGAAACCCCACATACCCTTTGATATTTGCAGAACTGCAATATAGAAAGAGCTTGAAACTATTTTTTTCTTGCTTGTTTTATACCTTAGAAATACAGATCATGCGTTTGCTGAAGACTGTTGAATAAAGAAATAGGACAAAGCACATTATGAGAGACCAAAGAAAAATCAACTTTAAGACAGGAAAGAATTACCAGGCAAGATCTATCATTATAAATCCTCCAAGTGGACACTGTATTTCCCCAAAACAAAAGTGGATTAATTAAATACAGGTTAACGATGTTCCAAGCAGCATGACTACACCAAAAACCATGTACATAGGAATAAGGTCTGCTACCTGTTCTTTCAATGTTTTTCTTCTTAATTTTTTAGATAGTTATTTTGGTATAACTGCACTGAAAGGGTGTATCCACATTGCTGTCTACAACACTTTAAACTTTCCCATGTGCATAATACTGCCTGCACAGCACTGAGCTTTCTCAATATTAGCATAACCACTCTGGACTGGTATCCCAAATACCAGTTAACAATGGTCTTCCGCTAGGCTCAGTGCATTACAATTCATTGCGATAGTGTGTGAGATACCTACCAGAACCTGTTGGAATTCTAGGCCTTTATGTCAAAACACCCGCAATTGCTTTGATGGTACTTATATATAGCTATAGTAGTCAGTGCCATCTCCAAAACACGTTCAAAACAACTTCTGCAAACTGTCACATACCATAGAAGAAACACTGCTGAGTACCACATTCCTGACCATTATTCATACATAATGCATGCAGGATTGCAAACTGGCAAACCTGCAGGCTGGCGGCCTTGCAGGAGACTGAAGAACATCACCATACAACTGTAGTTTTACTCCTACCGTTGGAGAAAAACTTGGAAGGCATATACAGCATAACCTCATGAATCTGGCATGCTTGGGACGGAGCACCTGCCAGAAATGTGAAAATTTCAGATTTGTGAAACTGGAGTGGCGGCTGGTCCTGGAGCAGCGGGGAAGAAGGGGTGGCGGGCATTTCCCAAGCAGCAACTGCACATGGAGCAGCGGCACGGGGTGGTGGATGGCAGTGGCAGCCACTATGTGCAAGTTTCCCCCCGTTGCTCTGGAACCACCCGCTGCTACTCCCCAATGGAGTGTAGTTTTAAAGAGTGCTGGATTTTCAATAATTCTGGATTTCTGATATCCGGATTTATGAGATTATACTGTACCAACATTTTCTGAACTGGCTATAAATAAGAGCACTGCTAATGAGCACTAACTGATGGGACAGGACAGTACTACAGAGCTAATATATATCTATTCTAGTACAGCTGCAGAGCTTCAAGATATGGAAAGCCACCTCCTTGGATATCTGTGCTAAGCTTACTACAGAGCTGCAATGATGAAACACCAGTACCCTCAAACAAGTGAGGCATGTGGCCTCTGCTATCTGGGAGCTCATCCCTACCCAGTGGCTACCAGTCAGTAGCTAACTAGTTTCATTTTGGTGAATAGATTTTCAAAACTGTTGGTCACAGGAGGTAAAACACTGTTATTGTGGGTATATGGCTACTCTGGGTCAAAAAACTTAGCAATACCTAGGTGGCTATAAATAACTCTGAATAGCTTATTCTGAGGATGTAGACGAGCCAAAAATGGGACCCATGGGCTAATTAGGTCTCTTTCCCGCCCCCCTCCTCCCCCGCCCTTTCCCCCCTGCAGGTTCTAGAGTTTATCTGAAGAGGCATTTCCCCATGATGATGAAAGTCCTGTCTGACCACCAGCAGTTTCACTAAGCCTGGGATGGAGCAGCAGAGATGACAACAGGATTTTTAAAAATGTATCCCCATCAGAGGGAACGAAAATGAGATGTTTGCTTACCCATACCACTACAGGCATGAATGATATGGCTCCAGCTGATATTTTGAGAGAATCAGCTTACTGTCTGCTTCTCTGGCTTATGAAGGACAGAACTGCGTATATTTAAGTAACTGCAGAATGTATATGGAACATGCACTTGGAGGAACAAAATGGGAGACTGAAGGTGTTTCAATACAAAGTTGGAGGCTTCAGGGAACTATCTGTCTTGTATTATAGATGCTTTATTTTACATACTTGAGAGAGCAAGCTAGATGCCTCTGGAAGCATTAAACAGTTAGAGAAATATCCAGTATCAAATGTCACCACAGACTGAGAGCTAGGATCAAGAAAACATTGTGCTTTCACTTTGACAGCAAGGTAGAAGGGGAAAAAATTGTAATGTTATAAAGTCAATGAATATGACAGCACACTCTTTCTGAAATACAAAGGCTACTAGGGAGAGCTGTGCCTAATGACATTTTCCATGAGGATAACTTTATTTTGTACTGATTTAATATATGATATAACATGTAACAGTACAGAATTTTCCAAAACAGAGTCAATATATTTCTGTAGAGGAAACATAAAAATTTGTTGGCAGGAATATAGTGGCTTTCCTGAGAGGGGTGGAATTGCATGGGAACTATTCTTTGAAGTTCGGACTAGCAGAAGAG